TCATTGTAATTGTTAATTAGTTACTTATTTTAAATTGTAATTTAGTTGTTACTTCTATTCCTAACGGTCACTTCTGAAGATGTATGTTGAAACATATGAAACGTCAAGTAAATGAACTTTGTTTTTTTAACATGCGTTTTATTGCCATGTTTATCACCACAGTTTGTGTGTTATTTCTTATCAAGTTACGATGGCCGAAGAAAAAGAGTAATACAGCTTTGCAAGGAAAACTACAGTAACTGTCTCTGAAGAAAAACAGACTGGGCCCTCCCGATCTCCTGAAACTTGGGAAAGCTTCGAAAATATCCGGTTATCTTCGGAGATCACCGGAGATTGTCACAAGTCCTCGGAAATCCTGGGAAGTGTTTGGGTGATCTTTAGAAATCCTTGGAAGTGTTCGGGCAGTCTTCAGAAGAACTCAAGTGATCTTTGGAAATCTTCGGAGATGTTCGGGTGATATTCGGAAATCTTCAGAAATGTTCGGGTGATCTTTGGAAGTCTTTGGAATTGTTCGGGTGATCTTCGGAAATCTTTGGAAGTGTTCAGGGATCTTCGGAAATCTACGGGAGTGTTCGGGTGATCTTTGCAAATCTTCGGAAGGTTTTGTGTGGCCTTCAATAATCTTCGGAAGGTTAATAGCTTAATTTCATTGGCTGAGACAAACTGTCCTCTTTTTTCCCAAATTGGACAGTTTCTGCGTTTTTACTCAAAGTCCTTATTGAAAACTGTCCAAATTAAATGCCAAAATTGGACAGTTTTCAGAAATTAAAGGATAACAGCTGTGCTGAATATACTGGATTAACTGACTGCTATATCGTTATGTACTTAAATCATTCTTTTGAGTGACATTGTTGAGTATTATATTGAAGCTCATAGCAAACAATGTAATGAAATTTTGTAGCAACCTATACTTTTGTTTTTCATTAGTCAATTGAACTTATTGTTCATACAGTGTATGTATCCTGATTTTTTCCTTCTGAAGACAGCTTAACATTTACTTTCTTGTTATTAAATAAAACAAGTGAATTAATGCAGGAGTATGGGAATAACAAACTCCCAAGATACTGGTTTTTGATTAATACTTAAGAAAATTTAGGATAGTGGCCTCGCCTATTTCAATGAATCATTGATTTTACTGTTTGAAGCAGACATTCTCACAGTTTGTGGACATGAAATGTCGGAAAAATACAACAGTTTTTGGTGAACCAAAATACTTCATGATACTGAAAGTATATTCATGGAAAACGTGCACTGTATACTAACATTTTTGTTTTGATAGTACACCCTGTGATGACATTTTGACTCTTTGTCCACAATTAAGATCGTCTTTCCTGTTGGTAGATGGTGCCCCATAGGTCAATATGCTCTCTAAGCCAATGGTACAAGTCCCTGTAGTCAAGGCCATGCAGCAGATTACGTTCAAACTTTGGAAAGGATGGATACCCCTCTTTACCAGATTGTTTGTTAAAAGCAACTTGTGTCATCAGGTCAATAATGATCTGATTTACCGCTTCTTCCTCCTTTGGTATCCTTCTTCCAAAGTGGTGTTCTGTTACAATGCAGTCTCTGTCAACTGAATGGTAGATGAGCTTGATTGAGCTTGATGAGCTTGATGTCTTGATTCAAGTGTCCCTGCTGTTCTTTCTGCATTTTGCTCATCAAGGTTGGCTCCAAGATTACCCCACATACACTTTATGCCTTTGTTGTCATGTTCCTTTTGCAAGTCTAGGGAAATATTCCATCCTGGCAGGCCACTGACATTGTAGGTACGGTTCCACTTCAGCTGTAGTGCTTGAGATGGGGGGAGGATAGCAATGCACTTCACTAAATACAAGAGAACTGTATAGGCATACTTATAATGGCCATGGTTCTTGTAAAGCAGTAAGGCAAGTTTGTAGGCATCAAAGAGCC